TGCCGCAAACCCCTGGCCCCTCCGGTCTCAGCTTCCTGTGGCATCCAACGAACGACCTGCAGCCCCGCCGTCAAACTTAGCAAAAGAGCAAGGCCAGTCTGTTGTCTTTCCTGAGGAAGAGTAAAGGTGACCCCATCCATAACCCCGGCCACAAGGGTCACCACCTCTTACACCTCCTCCCACCTCCACACACCCGCAGGCTCTGAGAGCCTCGCCCCGGCTCTCCTAGGAGCAGGCCCTGGCGCTCCTCCCTCCGGGGCCTGGGAAAGCAGGCAGGTGGGGAGAGAGCACAGAGGCATCCAGGAGGGATGCCTGGAGGGAGGGTTGTCATGGCTACAGCCTTAGAGGCAAGGCTGGTTCTCCTGAAAGGTGGCACGGGATGAAGTGGACCCACGTTTGCCAGGAAGCTGCCTGCCCCTGGCTGCAAACAAGGACTCACGTGTTTCAAAGCGTGTTCGCTTGGCCTTGGGAGGTTATTGACATTTCTGCCACTTTCTGGCTCGGACTGCGGCTCGAACAGATTGCTGCGCCACTGACAGCATGCCCTGCGAGCACGGACATTCTGCAGAAACTCGGTCATGGCCTCACGCCGTGTGTAAAGGCGTTCTGTGCTCTGCAAAGTGCCAAGCTCTGGCTGGATGACAGTCAGAGGGTTGGCGGCCTGGGTGTGAGAGAGGAGGCCCTCCTGAGAGAGGGCAGGCTGCCCTAATGGGGAAACGTGGGGTTCTTCTACCCTTGGGGCAGCTCCGGTGTGTGGCCAGATGGCTAGAACACACCCCTGGGCAGGGCTGGGGCTGGTGGCGGAGCTTCTGTGGAGGAAGCTGGGTGCGCCTGCCTGGGGCACTGGGGACCGGTGGCAGTGTGTCTAGGGCCTTGGAAGTCCTTTCCGGTGAGTTATCTTACCCACTATCACAGCCGTCCCAGGGCAGCGAGGCCAGGAACCAGAACTCTCCCATTTCCACAGAACTGGCATGAGGGCCAAGGTCCTACAGGGAGGTTAGGACCAGGGCCCCCGCCTCTTCCCAAGGCAATGTGATTCCACACACAGAGCAGCTCTAACTCTGCCCACACGTCCTGGAGGACTCCATAATGATCCTAGGACCATATGTGTGTCAGTGCACAGACACGTGTGAACCTGAGCACAGTCATGCAGAGAAAGGGAGGGCTCATGCCCGGGAAAGTGGGGAGAGGGCGACCGCCCTGAGAAGCAGCAAGCGGGCATCACTTAGGTAGGAATGCAGGCACCTGAGCGTCTGTCTCACACCCGGCAGCTTACTTCCTGGATTAACTACACAAGGACATTCTGAGCAGGTCCACCAGGACCCAGGGCAAGGCTGCCCATGGCAGGGTCACTTGGAGGGGGTGGGGTGGGGAGATTCGGTGGGTGGCAGGTGTGTTTCCATCAGTGTGGGTGAGGGCAGGCAGACTGTGGCAGGAGCACACCACACAGTAAGGGCAGCAGCAACAATTGGATGGAGGGACCTTAGCAACACAGCGCTGAGTGAAAGGACACGAGAAACTTAAGAGTTACCCCCAACTAAAACACATTCAAACACAATCTCATTTTGAAAGAACCCAGAAAGTTAACAAGTAAGCAGATTAGAATGACTGTGCATTGGGGGATGGGAGTGGGATATGGTGGTGAATGGGAATCTATCTATATAAAACTCTAAAATGCAAATCGAAAACCCTAATATGCAAATCGACTAAATGGCCAAACCACCAGTGGAACGACCGATCGCTATGATGTGTACTGACCACCAGGGGGCAGTCACTCAACACAGGAGCTGCCCCCAGCTTGCAGGCCCCAACTGGCAGTAGTCAGGGCCAGTGAGTAGGTGGTGCCAGGCCACCCAAGGCAGGTATGGGGGGGGGGGCAATCGCCCCACCCATCACACCACCTTGCCTTCTCAGGAAACTGCTGGGCCGCCCCTGCTGAGGTCAGCCAGGAGGCCAGGGGGTGTTAGAAGGAGCAGAAGTTTGTCCTTTCATGTTAGCAGAGCCTGAGTCACAGCTGCACTTGCTCCCTTAACCCACAAACGCCTGGCATACAGGCCGGGGGCCCGCTGAGCCAGCACACCACTCCTGGCTTGATGAGATGCTACTGCAGGGGATGCTGCAGTTTGGTTTTGACACATATTCAAGAATGAATCCCGCCCACAGCCATGAGCTCTCCGAAGGCCATCGTTGCTTGTATACACACAAAAGACGAGGGTCTCAGAAGTGAGAGCAGAGTCTGCAAATGCTAGTAGAGGTCACTTGTACTTGGAGAACGGGGGCATCCATAGGGAAGGCTGGAAACCCAGAGCCTACTTCGCTGGGATTATGTTTTCTCAGGGGTAGTGGTAACCATGCCAACCGCAAGCTGTAACGTGGTCAGGGTGATACCTGTAATTGGGAGAAAGGTGGGTCACTAAAATTTTATAGCATGTATTTTTTTATTAAAGCAATTAATATTCACTGTAGGAAATATAGAAGTACTGATAAATACCGATGAAGATAAAAAGCATCTTAATCCCACTCCCCAGAAATGTTCCCTTTCCTGGCGGCTAAGGCATATGCTCTCCAGTGACGTTTTTATGAGGGAATTAAGCACAGCACAGTGACTATGTGAGTACAGCCTTGCCTGTAACAGGATCCAATCAGGAACCAGACTGCAGGATCGGCTGGAAGGCTGGGCGTGAAAGCCCGGCACATGCGGTGGCTTTGCTGGTCTGACTAGGTTCTCTGTGGGGTTACCGTGCTGTTCACCGGGAAGCTGTAAGGCCAAGCCCACTGGCGACGACGGAGGGGACAACGCCTGAGCTGGCGATGTAAAAAATAAATATGGAAAATTTATTTGGCTTTTGCCATTTAGAGCAACTAGACTATTGTTTTTCCCTTGCAATAAAAGACACTTGGAGCTACAGAAACACTTTAATTATTGAAATTATTTCAGGGAAAATACCTTTGTTATTGTCAGTCGAATGCTCTAGCATTTTATCCACTTTTTTCCCCCCATTGAAATAATTGGGGTTTTTAAAAAAAATAAGGTATTTGAAACACGTGTGTTTTTTTTGTTTTTTGTTTTTTAAGAGTTTAATAAAGCAAAGCAGAATAAGCTCTCTGTTTATATATGCATACATACACACATGTGATTTTTAAAATAAAATTAGGAACATACTATACATATCACCTATATTTTCTATTCATTACTTCATAGCACGTTGTAAACGTTTTCCAGTACATTAAATACTCTTCAAAAATATGCTTTTTATTGCCTAAGCATTCCATTATGTGGATGTAACATACATTATTTATCTCCTCCCTATTCAACATGTTAAGTTGGTCCCAATTCTTTCTATTATAGAAGAAAAAAAGCTGTGACGATGACTCTGTCCACATCGCTCATTATTTTCTTACAGTAAATTTAGCATTTTAATTACCTTCATGAGGTACTCATGAGTATTATTGATGGTGTGTATAAATCCCCAATGCATTGCTTGGTACACAGCAGGCATTCATGACTGAAAGCTATAAACAGGAAGCTGAGTACCAGAGGCAACAGACGATGCTGTCGAAGCTGAGTGAGGAGAGAAATGTGCTCCCCTTCGTCAGGGGATGATGTCACGGGACCGTGTGGGGGAAGGAAATGAGGAAGGATGCAGTTGTTTTTGCTCCCAGGAGCAGAAGGGCCTGCCAACACTCAGAATAAAATGATTCTCGATGTAAACACTACCACCCTCCCGCTCCTTCAGGACATGCTCTCCCTTAGCCCTCAGGGACCTCTCACTCAGCTCAGTCCTGCTGAGACGGAGTCTGAGCCACACTGATTCCCCTCGGTTTCGATACAGGACCTTCGTGTAACGGAAAACTGTGAGCACAGCACAAACAACATCAATCACTGTGTTCGTGGAGATTATTTATTAGCTATTCTCACTCACGACGAAAGGACATAAAAAAAGCCAATAAAATTGAAATAAAACAAAATGAAAATCCAGCAACATTTCTTCCCCAAGGACTTCAGCTGGACGCTGCGCAATGGGCCCCGAGGAGTTTCCTGTGTGCAGCTCGAACTCCCTAAAAGAAGGGCTTTAAAGACAGCCTGAATTCTTCTGAGGTGCAGGTCTGACCTGCGCAGAGAGAAAGTCCGGAGGAGGATGTTTTAAACAGACACTGGAATGCTTACAGGTCTCAGAACACCAGCCGTCCGAGACACGTGGTCACACGGGAGCACGGCTGGGCTCCTGGTTGGCATGAGTCTTCCCGGCCCAGACAACCCCCCGGCATGCCCTCGGAGGTGGCCAACCTCCGTTCTTTGATGACGGATTTGATTTCTGAGCACAGTCACATCCCCTGGAGCAGGCCCAGCTGAAGACGGGATACAGAGGTCTGTGACGCAGCTGGGAGGTGAGACCAGCTTTGGGGTGAGGGCCACCGCTGGCACCGAAGGCCCTCCCCAAAAAGGCGGCAGGCTTTACACCTGCAGCGGGCGACGTGAGCATCCGGGATGTGAGTGCAGCCCCCTGGGGGCACGCGTGGGAGGTCGCCGTCGTGTGAACGCTTCAAACCTGAGCCAGCTCTGGCCGCTGGCTCAGAGCTCCCTGGAAGCTGCACACGTTCTGTTTGTCCTTTCTCTCAAAATGGAAGCCTGTCTGTCCATTTAAAATACATTTCTAGTTTGTCCAAAGAAGACTTTGTTCTTAAAAAGGATTTCCATTTCTCTAGGGGCTGAAGGCAAAGGGCAGGGTTTTCCTTCCTTTCGTTCTCTCCAAACACCGGCTTCCCGGCCCCCGGGAAGATGTCTGGGTGCTTGCCTTCCCCATGCCTGTCCCTGGGAGGAAAGGTCCCCCAGCACCAGCGATGTGCAGGCCGCTCGCCGCCGGGTGGCCTCAGGACGCGGCCCGCGGGAGGGAGAGCTGCAGCACCTGCTCACAGAGCCCCGCCCCGGTGCCTCTCCAGGGGTGCCTCCGCCCCCCGGGGCCTGTCCCAGAGGCGGAGAGCAGGGCGGGAGGGTGCAGCTAGGCCTCCGGGATCGGGGTGTTGCAGTTCCCGTGGTAGATCCGGACGTGGCCCTCGCAGCGGAAGTAGGCCTCGAAGACGTCGCTGTAGCCATGGTCCCGCCACCAGGTGCAGAGCTGCCGGTTCCAGGTGCAGTCCAGCACGTGGAAGAGCTCGGGGTGCTCCATGCCGATCATGGTGAAGAAGTCCTGGTCCCCCAGGTGGCCCCGGAAGCGGTACTTGTCGGCCAGCTGCCGCACCCGCGCCGGCTCCAGCAGGCGGCTGTAGAGCGGGGACTGGCGCATGGCCTCCAGGTCCAGCAGCATCACCCCGCTGTTGAAGCCGGGGAGCCCCTCGGGCGGCGGGCCCCCAACCCGGGTCTTGGGGTTCTCCTGGCGGAACTGCCAGAATGTGTGCCTGGGAAGGGGAAAGAGAACAGACTTAGCTGGTTGGTGGGGGGGAAGCAGTTTGCCAGCACCGCTCCCCTGGGGTCTGCACCGCCACCCTGGCGGGAGATGGGGTTTCAGCCCAGCTCTCCAGCTAAGAAAACCGAGGCCTCTGAGGTTCCGAATCTGTACCCCGTCCCAGGCACGTGGCCGAGCTGGGACCTGGACCCAGTCTCTTGGTGCCAAGCCTCAGGTCTCCCCGCCATCCTCCACTTCCACGGGATGCATCGCCGCTCACACTCAGGTCTGCATCGATGGGGATGCAGCGGCCTTGCACCCGACAGGCCTGTCCCTCCTCACCACACCCTGTGAGTCGGGCGCTGCCAGATGGCAGTTACTTCACAGCTGGGAAACGGAGGCCCAGGAAGGCTTGATAACTTGCCCAAAGTCACACAACTAGTAAGCAGCAAAAGTAGGGGCTAGCCCAGCTGGTGTGGCTCAGTGGCTGAGCATCGACCTATGAACCAGAAGGTCACGGTTCGATTCCTGGTCAGAGCACGTGCTCAGGTTGTGGGCTCGATCCCCAGTGTGGAGGCACGAGGGGGAAGCTGATCAATGATTCTCTCTCATTGATGTTTCTATTTATCTCTCCTTCTCTCTTGCTCTCTCTGAAATCAATTTATATATATATATATATATATATATATATATATATATATATATATATATATATATATTATATAAAGCAGGGCTGAACCCAGGCATCTGGTTCCAGAGTCCACTTCTTACGATAGTAACAATGCAGGTGGAACTTTTTATCCTCTTGTCTTTGTCTGTGATCTTGAAAAGGAGAGGAGAGAGGAGGAAGGGGAGACAATTCTGAGCGCTGACCTGGTAAAGACGTAAGAAGCTATGCACAGCCTGAAACAATATCACTTCTGCTTTAGAACCAGCCTCATTCTCTAGGGCCCCGAGCCTGACAATCTATCAGGCTGGGCGAAGGGTGGAGGCCTGAAGCGGCTCAGGACTCTTACCCATGTTTTAGGGAAAGTCAACCTTGGCTTTAGAGGGACTGTCACCTCCATGTCCATTTCCCTCTAGGCAGATTTAGAAATCCAGTCCAGACCCACAGTTCAGGGGAGGTGAGAACCAGGAGACCCTGCCAGGTTCTCCATCCTTCGGTCTGGAGAAGCAAGGACAGACTCAGGAGTGACATGATCAGAGCACTGGCTATTCTGTTCTCCAACCTCCCCAATCTCAGTTCCCGTGTGCTGCCAGGTGGGCATCGGCGGGGCGAGTCCAGACTCCACATCCCAGGGGGTCAGCGGTTTGGAGGAGGGATGGGGGCCCTTTGATGCAAGCAAGGGGCAGGCATGGGGCAGGCGAGTGTTCGGCATCGCACTACAACTCACCTGCTTTTGCTTCCCTAGAGAATCCTTAGGGTGGGGCAGGCATCCTGCCAAGACCCCTTGCCTCCCCTTTCTCTGCTCCCCACCTGGAAGTGCCACCCGCTGGCTCTCGGGGCGAGTTTCCAGACCAGACCAGCCGCAGGGTGGGATCTGCGAGGTGAAGCGTATGGCGCGGTGGAAGGAAACCAGAGACCCGGCCCGCTGCGCGGGCCGTTTTCTTGTTCTAACGTTTTTCCGGGTCTGGGAGCGGAGAGACCTTCCTTGAGGTCTCGCATATCACAAAGGGCGCCGGAGCTGGATCCCGGGGAGGAAGAAAGCATTCCCTTCGACATTCTCACACGCAGAGCACACAGGCTCATTGTTTGAGCTTCGCCATCGTGGACTCTGAGTGGAACCGTGCGCTGGCGCCTGCCTGGTGATAAAAACCTTGGCAAAAACAAGCTTCCCAAGCCCGCGGAGCTTTGGGAGCCTCTCCCGCCGCTGCAGCTGCACAGATGGCATCGTGGCGACCGTTTGCTCCTCTGACCGTATTTCTTCCAAATGGAACGTGTCAGCTCCAGGTTGCAAAACAGCTAAAATTCTACCGACCAGACGGGGGCCACCACAGCAGAGGAGGAACCCTCCAACCGGGGGCTGGATCACGCCAGGGGGTGAGGACAGAAGCATTCACAGGAGGAGAGGGTTCAAGGACAGTGGAGGCAGAGCGGTGCCTGCGGAACTCCTGGACACCTCACAACCACTGAGACCACCTCCTTCCTTCCCAGGGAGCCAGTGGGATGAGGTGGGGGGCGCATTAGCCTCTACTCACCCCTGCACCCCCCCTGCCACCACCCCTAGGCTGTGAGGTCTCCCAGGACCACCTTGCACAGTGCCCCAATCACAGGGCTTCAGGGACAAAACAGTGACGGACAGGGAATGAGGAAAGGTCGGTGTGGCTCAGGCTGTACAGCCTTCAATGTGGACTGGAACCGGGGCAGGGAGCCGTCAAAACACAGGGCAGCAGCTGCAGAGACCTGAGGGTTCACAGGCATGCAGCCCCCCACTGCTGGGTCCATCTGGGTGGAGAGAGGCAGGGACCCCCCAGAGGGTGCTCAGCTGGCTCAGAAGGGTTTTTACTCCTGAGCAAGCTGGGGTGCAGGGAGGCCACTGCATCCCCAGGCACCTCACCAACCTCAGCGGAAAGCTCCCCCCATCTTCCCTGCCCACGCAAGGGTTACCTGACACTGCACTTAATGGGCCCAGGAGAGGGGGCCCGAGGCAGAGAGAGGGGACAGAACATTCTTCCAGGCGGGGACCAGAGCCTCCTTGGGAACAGAATGCCTGGCACGGCCACTCCATCAGGACCAAGAGGCGTTTTATAACAAAAGCCAGAGGGAACCAGGTCTGGGGCGTCGGCACGTTATGATTTGTAAGGCGAAGCAAAGAAGGGACAGGAAATTAGAAATGCAAGCTGCTCAGGGCGTCTGCTGGAGCAGAAACACCGCCTGAAGATAAACCGATGAGTCTCTAAGCAGGGGATCATGTCCAGGCTGCCCTCGTTCAAAGCATTCCTGCTACCCCAAAACGAACCCACAAAAACAGCAGCTACTTAGAGGAATGGTGGGGTTCTCTGGCCACCATGTCAGCTGGTTCTTGTTGAGGAACTGTGACAGCCTTGAGGCAGAGAGAATGACACAGGGACGAGGATGGATGGGACCACAAGGGAAGGGACCACCCGCTGTAGTAAGGCCAGGGTTGCGAAACCCTTACTGCCTCTAGCCCAGCTCTGCTCCAGCAGCACAGCAACCTCACTGCCAGCATCCGAACGGGGAGGACAGAGGTGCCCAGTGGGCTGGGACAGGGCCCGACTCGGGGAGGGACAGAGGAGCTCAGTGCGTCAGGGCAGAGTCTGACTCGAGGAGGGACAGTACATCAGGGGCAGAGCCCCAACTTGAATCCCGGGCTCCTGATCTCCAGGTCTCTTCCATCTTTCCCTCGGATTCCACAAGCTCAGGTTCCAAGGAGCAATGCTTAGACTTTAATCTTTTCTCTGGATTTCGCAGGCACACCTCAAGGCCAAGGCACCGGGGTCCAAGCCACCAGGCAATGCCACTGCCACTGGCGTTCCACAGCCTCGGGGCTCGGAGCCGAGAACCGCCCTGAGGGGGTTAAAGGGTGCCCAGACCCCTGTCTTCCTCACAGGGCCTGGAGCCACCGTACATATGCACAGGGCACTGCTGTGACATGCCGAGGCTGCAGGAGACCTCTGTATGAATGTAGTATCTGGTTCTGAGTCCTGGAGCTTCCAGAAGCTTCTCTGATCAACCTCCCACACCTGCAACCCAGTCATGTTGCCCTGCCTCCTCATCTGGACTTGGGCCTGTTCCACCCCCCATGGTCACCTGCAGACCACACTAGAGGGGGAAGGTTCTCTTTCCTTTTAGAAATAACTTCAACTGCGAAACAAGCCCATGCCCCCTTGTAAACAAGCTTCTGCCCAGAAGTCAATGAGGCCTACTGGGAAAAAACACATGAAAAATCTTCAAGCCCATCTTCCAGTTATAAGGGTGGATTTTCTAAATGTTTTACATCAAGTATGTCCTACTTAATAATCGTCAAAAATAGGGATGCCCATTCTCACCATTCCTGTTCGACATAGTACTGAAAGTGCTAGCCATAGCGATCAGACAAGAAGAAGAAATAAAAGTTATCCAAATTGGGAAAGAAGTAGTAAAGCTGTTCTTATTTGCAGATGACATGATACTATGTAAAGAAAACACCAAAGACTCCATCAAAAACTACTAGACTTAATAATGAATTCAGCAAAGAAGCAGGATACAAAATTAACACCCAGAAATCTATGGCCTTTTTATACACCAATAATGAACTCACAGAAAGAGAAATGAAAAAACAATACTATTTACAATTGCATCAAAAAAATTAAGATACCTAGGAATAAGCTTAACTAAGGACATAAAAGACCTGTACTTGGAAAACTACAGGACATTGAAAAAAGAGATAGAGGAAAACATAAACAAATGGAAGAACATACTATGTTCATAGATCGGTAAAATAAACATCATTAAAATGTCCATACTATCCCAAAATTAAATGCAATCCCCATTAAAATACTAATGGTATATTTCAAAGATCTAGAACAAACTCTCCAAAAATTCATCTGTAATAAAAAAATAAAAATAAAAAAAAGAGAGAGAGAGATAGCCACAGCAATCCTGAGAAAGAAGAACAAAGTTGGAGGGATCACAATACCAGATATCAAACTATATTAAGTTCTCAAAACCACCTGATACTGGCACAAGGACAGACATATAGACCAATGGAATAGAATAGAAAACCCAGAAATCAACCTATATCAATATGCTCAATTAGTATTTGACAAAGGAAGCAAGAGCATACAATGGAGTCAAGACAGTTTCTTCAATAAATGGTGCTGGAAAATTTGGTCAGATACATGCAAAAAAATGAAACTAGATCACCAAACAAACTCAAAATGACTAAAGGACTTAAACATAAGATGGGAAACCATAAAAATCTTACAATTTTCCATAGGCAGCAAAATAGCAGACATATGTCATAGCAATATCTTTACCGACATAGCTCCTCGGGCAATGAAGAATAAGGA